GAAGGCCCATCAGATCCCATTATATTCATAACTCAGTACCGGTACAGAATTCATTCTTCAAAGTCTTATAGTCTTACTCAGCTGATACATTAAAGGCAGCGGTGGGCCGTCACTGTCTTCTCTGCTGGCCGAAACAGAATCACAAAATTATAGCTATTTTATAATTTTTCATAAATACACTACATGTATTCAATTTTTTTTCCCATTATCTTATTTTCTCATTGCACAGCTACTGTCTTCCTCAGTTGCTCTGCTTCCAGTGCAGCTTGTTTTAAGTAGAGCTTTTATCCAATCAGATTTCACCTCTGTGTCTCTAGGTAGAACAGAGGCCCGAGGCCTGCAGACTCACAACAAGTGAATCCCTTTGCAGTTTAAGTGAATGGGGACGATATCGTTGATTGTCATAGTCTTCAACCAATCAGATCTTTAGTTTGACATGTTAGGCGTATTCTTTGACGTACTCAGAGCTGTCTAGCTGGCCTACAAGTACGTCCGCATTAACGTGCGGCGTGATTGGTCAGTGGGCTAGCGTGACTGTTTTGAAGCTGAAAGCTAGCTAGCAGAACTTAGTAGTTAGTAGTAAGAGTTCAAGTGGAAAGATGTGTAAGAAGTTATGATATTGACATGGCATTTTTAGCGTTTTACTTGGTGTAGCTTTGTTTTTTTAACACTCAATGGCTGAAGGAGGAGAAACGGATTTCTCAAGAAGGACATTTCAGGAAAAAATGATCATCGTAAGAAAGGGTCGGCCAACCCCACAGCTAGCAGCCCTGACCCAGCCAGGAAAAGGATTTGTATGAACGGTATTTCTGGCTAACAGCGTCGGAGAAGCGTTGCACATTTCATGGCTGGGAATGCGTTTTATTTGCAACTGAGCGTCTTGGTGTTTGGAGCGACGCTAACCTGAGTTGGCTAACCAAGGCAGCAACACGACACCATAGCACGACAGGACACTTACAAGCTACGGTGCTTTTGAAAACTTTTGCTGAGACCCGAGTGGATCTACAACTCAACGAACACGTTCACAGGAGGACCTCTGGCTGGAACTGAACCGCACCGATGCTCTGTACAACCGCATCATTAAACTCTTTGTAATCAAAGAAAGGAGGATGGACTTTGTCTTTAAGGGAACAGCAGCTTTGGTAAGTGAACTGCTTTGTTTTTATATCTGCAGTATCGTTACTACTGTGTTCATTTGTCTGGTGTCATTTTGATAATATGGTTAATATTGTTCCCTCTGATTTGAATAATATTTGAATGGCTTGTGCTCTTCAGTGTGCGGCGGAATTCGTGTTTTAGTGCCGCAGTGTTGCTGGATTGATTTGTCATGCTTTGTTGTCATATGTGATTTTGCTCTGGTTTATGCTTGTTTAAAAAAGGAGATGCACTTATGACTTCTGGTGACTGCTAGTTCTCTTGAATACCTATGTTGAATACACTTATTGTAAGTCGCTTTGGATAAAAGCGTATGCTAAATGACTGTAATGTAATGTGACTGGTTCTTGTGAATTTGTTCTTGTCATTGTGTTAATTACATTGATTTTGACTATATGCATTGTCTGTTAATGACGAAGCATACCGTCATGCGCATATTCGTGTATCTGTTTTCTTTTACAAAGCAATAATTATGGTCTGGAGAAATGGGGATTGTGTGGCGATTGCTTTAGCCCTGTTTGAATCAGTAGGGAACAGCTAAACGCTGCGGGGAGAGTTTTCAACGTGTGAGCTGCTGTTGGTTTTCCTGCTAAGCTAGTTTAGCATAGTGTGCGTCCCAGAACACACATGCATCACCAGAGTACAATGTTTTTCTTCCATGGTCGGCGTGTCAGACAGCACGTTGTCTGTGACGTTGGGTGGGTTGCCAGTTTGAGCACAGTGGCTCCACCGAAAGAACATCATATATCCCACAATTTAAGCTTCTGCATTTTCCAAATGCACTAGTATTTTTCAAACGTATTGTTCGATTCGTAAGTCTCGTACCGAATGGTTTAATATGAATACGTGTATTGTTACACCCCTAGAAACAAATAATAACCGTAGCTGTGGCGTCATAATGAGGTTATTAGGAGGTGGTTCAACTGCAGGACAGCACAGAAGGCCCAGGTATAAAATGCACGGCCCGCCACTGCTTAAAGGTGCTTTATTCAGAATCCAAAGCATAGCTACTGCGTCCACGCGGCACTGTTGTAGTACTCAAGACCGGTTCCTGTTATAGTGGAATGTGGATACATCAGAAAGCTATGCATGCAGTATTAGGTTAGCCAACTACAGTAACTTGCTAAAACATAGCTATCATTAGCTTACTAACAGCAAACTTGTATCATCATTTTAGCATTAACTGCACCCCTGGTAGCCATAGGGTGCTAAGCAATCCCTTGACATGCAACATTTTTAACTGCTACAGGCATTTTGTTTAGTTTCAGAAGGTGGTGTCATATTGTGTTGCCGATGTGGTGATTGGTTTTCACTTGCGTAGGCACAAGCTCCACCAGTGTGATGGTGTACGGATAAAAACAACAGCAGCTCTCTGCATGCTTAACCCAGCTGAGTTAAGTGGGTTAGGGCTTTGCCACATGACCTACTTCTTCTGCTAGACTACTGTTCTGATACTTAACAAGGATACCTACACTGCAGAGAAAATCCCTTTAAAAGTAGGACTTCAATTATTTCAGCTATTCAAAATCACACGCCATTGCCAGATAGCGGAGGATGATTGAGCAGGGCTACATATATTATGTTGTCAGTTTAAGCTCAGCATGTGATTTGGACTTTACAGAAATAAATGTATTTTTGCTAGTGATCAATGATCTAACATAGTAGACTTTTACCTAGAGGATCACATTTTAATGCCACACCCTTCATACCCAACAAGTGACAAACATACAAACAGAAAAAAAGAAGAAAAAAGTGAATATGGTCACCAGAATCATAACTAATGGACCATGTGACTATTTGTAAGGTGTCACTCAGAGAACTGATCCCAGCCTTTCAGCTCTTTGTTTTTGTTTTATCACGCACGACTTTAGTGTTTTGGTTCAGTCTCATTACCTTGTTTCCAGCAGCAGGCAGCTCTTTTCAGTGAAACCGCTCAAATAAACCCACTGTACTCTACCTGCTCAGCAGCAAACAGCAGAGAGACACAGTTAGAGACGAGCTGGTGGACATAGTGGAGCATTTAGCAGCTAAAGAAAGATATTTCTCACAGGAGTTGGTGGAGACCAAAAACAAAATAGAAGGTCTACAGCAGGGGTCGCCAATTGGCGGACCGCGGTCCGGATCCGGACCCAGACGCCATTGTATCCGGACCCAGGACCTAAAATCGATTTTATTTTGACAGGGCGCTTCTATTTTAACCGGCGCAGCTTTTTCAGCCGTTACGGCACTTGTTCAGCGGTGCAGGAAACACACCGACCAATGCGTTGTAAATCACATCACGTGATGCAGCTCAGCCAAGTTGCCTGACTCGAGTGATATGTACACACACCGGGGGAGAGACGAGGAAAGAGAAGAAGAGCAGGAGAATAATACGTGAGTCAGAGAAGTTATTTCACATGACGTTCTCCAAAAAGAGAAAAGTGGTCAGAGAGACCAGAGAGACCAGAGACTTTAACCAAGAATGAACAGACTCTTATAGGTTAATTCTTCACACGGACAGTTTATAACCAGTGTGTCTCATATGTTCAGAGACCGTGCCGATTATTAAAAGCGGTAAATGAAGACCTGAGAGTCCAATATGATCAGAATCCTAACGCATGAATTCACTGTTCAACAATGATGTTAACAGAGAGAATAGAGCTGAAACAAGTAGTTTTATAACCACAGATAAAGTCCATGCAGAAACATTTCTCTTTTTAAATTACAAAAATATAATATTGTGTCTTTTTTATTGACATCACTTCACACCTGAATGAACTGAATTTAAAGCTGCAGGACAATTCAGTGAAATACATTTTTCTAAAATTAAGTACTTTATTTTAAGATGCACATTCTTCAAAAGCTTTCTGTTATATCAGTTATTCTTTAATCCAGCCCTTATTGTACTTGAAATGAGAAGAATATTTATTTATGTATTTCTATGTATTATTTATAATCCATCCAGTTAAATTTGAAAAGTCAGAATAATAATTGTTAAAATATAATTGATGTGTACTTTCTTTATTTGATTTGACAGTTGTTGACTACACAGAGACGTTGTTACTACTACTAGGCTTCTTGAATATATATATATATATATATATCACTAAATAGCGCAAGTTAGATATTAGTGTAATGTTCCGGACCTTTGCCCGAGGACATTTTCTCAATCTGGACCTTTTGAAATTTTAATTGAATACCCCTGGTCTACAGAGACCCTGCCCTCTGCCTGTATTGTCTTCTTATTTTGCTGTGTTTGGGACTCTTCTGGGACTCTGCTGGACCTCAGTACACCGAGGGCTGTGTCACAGCAAAGAGCATTTGGACATTACGTGGCTGTATAACCCCAAGCCAATGAACAGGGTGTACAGCCCGTTCTCATTCCCAGGTCAAAAAACGCCACTTTGTCGCGCCCTTTAGTGTCCTGTGGCACAGAGAGAGCAGACAGGCCACTGCAGGAAGAAGCTGCCTTGGGCTGCATTCATTCAAAATCCGGCACCTTCCCTCAGGTTTTTGAGGAGATGTGGTTGGGTGTATTTGTGCTGTAGAACGTATCCGCTATGAAACAATGAATGACAGCTTTAATCTCATCTTCAGTGTGGGTTAAGTGTTTTATTCTCTGTGAGTTTACATGTTGTCTCTGCATCAGTGTGGGTTTTTCCCACAGTTCAAACACAATTGGAGTAAGTTTCGTCTACTGTAAGTGTTAGCCGTGTGATAGACTGGCAACCTGTTTGTAACCCAGTGAATGCTTCATATAGAATGAATTACAGAGATGAAGAGGACATTAGTACCTGCAGGAAACACATTTGTACCTACAGATTTACTTCTATCCATGTTTGCTGAAGAGAAAAAAAAGGACTTACCCAGGCCGTTCTCACAATCAGTAAACTCCATGGAATGAACAGCTCTGTCTACTCCGTATGGACCCATTAGTGTCCTGTTAGAGATGGAGGGATGAGGAGGATGGAGAAAAAAACAGGAAGAAAGAAACAGAAGAGAGGAAAAAATAAGTAGATCACAAACTACTTCTGTACTTGCTTTCCCTTCACAGATTAGACCCTTGAGTTGCAGAGCGTCACAGTCAGACTGGGACTACTCACTGTTAAGGAATTTGACTATGTGATGGATACAGAGCCTTACGTCTGTCTCAGGTAGTTTGTCCTCAAGCCTTACCGCTTGTGTCCACCAAAGCCTGTTTTCCAGCTGGAGCACTTAAGAGAGTTTTGGAGACACAGTGTTGATCATGTGAGAAGCTTTGGTTGCCTCTGGTTGCTATGATGTGGAATATCCGCAGAAGTAAAAATGTTGGTGGAAGGTAGACTACTTGATCTGGCCCTTGTTCTGGATGAGAAGAAGGCTGAAGCACGTAGGAAGTGATACATTGGTAATGCAGTCATTCTGGATACAGTAAGTCTTTTCCGGTGACACTACAGTTTTGTTGACACTATCTATCATCACTTGCTGAGAGTTGCAGAAATACACCTCTGGATGGATGGACTCAGAGGTGTATATATAGAATGTGACTCCATGTACATTCTCAACATAACAACAACTCAGAATTTCTAGTTTTATTCTTGGAACAATATGAATGATATGGAGTTAGTCTGTACCAGTATTGATCTAGAATTTACCTCCTAGTAATATAGAATATATCATATTATAGAATATGTGTGAAATATGTTCAATGCGTCATGTTACAGGCTTTGTTCAAACTGTTGGCTTTGCTGTTGTATTCCTATTCATTGACGTATAGTATGCAGACAGATCAATAGTACAACAGTTGTAGACAAGGTGTCCATGACTCGTTCTTTTTTTGAATGAGGTTTCTTATCCTAAGTGATCTTGTCTTAGCCTTTGATAAGTATAAGTTGCTACAGGGCGAGTATCGGAGCGCGATACCTTTGAGGTATCGACTAAAATAAGCCGGTACCAAGTAGTATCCAAACTTCTCCAGTCAAACAATGTCTGCAATCAATCCTTTTTGTGTTCAGATCTATTTGTACACTGATAAAAACATAATGCTTGATCTACTCATAAATATTAAGGCAACTTTTTGCATCATCATGTTTCTTTAGTTTGGTAACCTCCGTCACAGCATTTTGCTAACAGCTTTCTGCTCTAACAGTGTGTTTTGTTTGGCAGATCGAGCACAATGGCTTCATCAGAGCTGATGCTGATGCTATACAGTGTTTTCATCGTGCTGTTCGTTGTTTATGTCTTGAAGGTTTTAGGTTGTCCCTATTTACTTATTGTTACATAATTAAGAAGCATTGCAATAGTTTCCACAGATGTGGCCCTGCATAACTAGCTCATTTTAAAGATAGTTTACAGATTTGCACATTTTAAGATATTTCGATTTGAACTAAACATTGATTCATAGTTTGATATGAGGACTTTGAATTGTAGAAGTTAAATATGACAGGAGTGACCTTTCCTTTGAATTCTGCTTTTGTTGTTTGGACACACTCTGGTTTAGCCGAATTTGCCTTATTCCTAATCCATCTAACATTGACTCAATTAAAGAACATCAGTTTGCTCAGGCTGAACACTAAAAAGATGGTGCATAAGATAGCATTGAATAGCAGAGATAAACCAGTGCACACTTATATCCATGCCTACCTGTAAAGACTACTAGCAACACTTTGTTAGTTCATTGTAGAGATTATTGTGTTCATAGTTTTGGAAATCTGGAACAAGGTATTCTCTGCAATGGACTTCACACTTCTCTGTCTGGTTGCCACCCGAATGACATGGAGGAATATCAATATTTCAGATGCAGAGGGTTCCTCAGTAGTGAAACTCTGGGGCTAATTGAGGACACGCTGAACTTCAAATGACAACGCTGTGCTTCTGACGGAGAGCAGCAGCAGAATGTAGCATTCATACAGTCTGAAGACAGGAAGCAGTGTGTGTAAGCAAAGAGCACGTTTTCAAATTTCTATTTTAAACAATGATGTTTTCTTGACAAACAAAAAATTCTTAGCTTAAGTTTCATTGGTCACGTGATCACAACTGAGTCATCTCCATGACAACAGAGCAAACTCCATCAGCATTTCAACAGACCTTTTTCACGGCAGACATGTTGACCTGTCATAGATGGAAAGCACAGGTGTATCTGATAACATTAATGATGGCTGCATTCCATTTCAGGGAGGCATGCTGGCTCATGCATGCTGGCTCACTGGAACAGTTTCCTGGGACACTTCTTGGAACTGAGCCAATGTGAATTTAACCTTTTCCTGCTACAAGTCAAAATGTCTGCTGTGGAAAAGGTCTCAGATGAATTTAAGCCTTTTCACACTGGGAACGAAAACCTAGAAAACCAAATGGTTCAGTGGATCATTATCCATTAAACAGTGAGACTCATGTTTAATGGATAATGGTATAACGGTATGAACAGAAGTATCACACTGACCTCATGATCTATTAATCACATGAGCAAAAGTCATTATTTTATTGGTTGGCTTATTTCTATCGGCATCTGAAATTCGCAGAAATTGAAAGAGCTGAGGAAAGAAAAGCCGTGCACGGCGAAAAGCGGATGTTTGGTATGCAGTGTGGACAGGCTGACAGAGATAGATGGGTCCAAATGCTTTAATTAACGTGCAATCTATTCACACAAATATTTTTGCGTTTGGTCTGAATAAAGGCATATAAAAGCTGGAATGGGGATGACTGGTTATGTTTCTTTAATACAGTTTGTATGGCCAAGAATGAACTTTTATGCCTAAAAGTATGTGTTTGTTTACGTTCAGCAAGATATGTTAAATCCATTTGGCACCAGAGAAATGCTTTTGGAGAACGTTTTTTGAAAACGACATTGTTTCCATCATCTTATAGATATCTTGTTCTTTTTTTATATTGTCACATTGTCTCTTTTTACGGGATAGAAGATACTGTACACATCACTCCGGTGTGTGTGTGGCAAAGCACAAGATAAAAGAACGTCATCGTCAGATCCTCTCCACAGCACCACGGTATAGTTTGAATTTCCTTGTCAAATACGAAATTAAGTCATGTTTAGGACATTTTTAAAAATCAAGTAGCAAGAAGCATGAAGCCATACAGTCAAACTGTGTAGCTATCTTCTACTGTAGACAACATGAGTCTCACTGTTTAAATCTCCTCATTTTTTTCAGATCAACAATATGTAAACCATTATAACCATTTGTTTCTTCTTTTAACCAAATGAGATGCCTCAGTGGTTCCGGCTTCTCTGAGATCTTCCACTCCATTAATTCCATTTAATCAGGATGATTGATGCCAGAGTAAACACAAAGAAGAGCCAAGATTTCCTCCTTAACTCCTATTCTTAAGTTTGTGGTCTGGCTCGGCCTAAAGCCTGATTTACTGAAGTTCCAGTTACAACTTGTTGATAATTCCAAGTGTTGACCATGAAGTAATCATACCATGTGAGCTGCTGCTTGTTGTGTTGGCCCTGGAGGACCATTAGTTGCAGCCCCGATATTATGAAGCCTGAACATAATATAAAGCAAGTATATTGTGCTGATGTCAGAGTTTCAACTCATTTTCTGGTGCTTGAAAGGACTCAAATAACACATTTAAAAGCACAATCAACGACCTGAAATAAAGTTTATAGGTTCACCATCAAAATATCTAAATGAAAACTGCTAACAGATGATTGACATAACAGGAGGAGAGGAGTCAGCTGCACTTGGTCAACAGGAGATCACTAATAATCAATAGGAAGTTATCCAGACTGATCCAGTTTTCCACATTACAACTCTTGATCTGTAAAAGTACATCACTACACTAACTGTTTTAAAGAACATAATAAATGTAATGTAGCGTGCATCTGAAGCCACAGAACGGACTTCATCGTGAAGGCGAACTAAATACAGCTGCCTCTCGTGCGCCACTGCCTCTCGTTGCGCGAGGCGCACGAGCGGCACAGATGGAGAGAAGTGTCCAGAAAAACAACCCGCTCGCGAGCTTTAAGCAGGTCAAAATGTTGCTGTAGAATGTGTTGCTCTCTATAGAACACCCAGAGGAAAACATTCGACACCAAGCACCTCCATTTTCACACTCAAACAACATACGTTTACTGTTTCAGTGAGCAACAGAGTGAGCGCGCGGGCGCCGCACGAGCCCCATTCAATGGAACGCTTCTCCTCATACAGTAACGTCTAGTCTCACGCGTTCTCCCACAGACATCTCTCCATCTGTCCGCTAACACGCACTCCACAGAGGGACACAGCAGCGCGTTACCTGCTAATGATGACGGCTCCTTTGTACATGACTGAGAAGGTTGGCATCGTGACACCGGAGCCAGCTTCTCCGGTAGGGGACGGACGGTCGGTCGGAGCTTCCCAGCCTTCAACCTTGCGCGAGCAGCCACATGATGGTGTGTCTGTGCACGGGCAGCGTCTAACACTCCTAACCAGCCTGTGTGCTCCAAACATCTCCACCTTCACTCACACATTTAATCTCTTACATAACCAAAGTCCCCTGTTGTTTTTTTGCTGCCCTTTTTTATTTGTTATATATATATATATATATATTTAAAACAAATAATATACCAATGACAAAGATACATTACATTATGATTTCACTATGAAGATATTGAATAGAGTGTTTCCTCTGCCAGTCCACCACATTAACACCTGCTCAGCCAAGCAGAGTCAATGGTTCTCCATTTACAAACAGTATTTTAATCCTCCATTGACATCCATGACTTTGCATTGTCATTTGTCATTCATGCCTCTGAGTAGTGTCTTTTGTTTTTTTCGCTCTCGGACCAGGCTGCAAATAACAATCCTATTTCATCAATCAATCAATTCATTATTTGATCAATACAAATGGATTATTATTCTATAAATAAATAAAACATGAACATGATGATGATTATGTTTATTGTGCTAAATTTGGCTCAGTCATGCAATTATGTTCCTCTACTGAGTTATACTGGTTCTTTCC